TGGAAAGACTAAGACTTTACAGTGAAAGACAAACAAATTAAAGCCCAACCCTAGCTTACAATTTTTAAGCAGTTACAGCAACAGGTTTTAAGGGGGAGGGGAAGAAAGCGCCTTCTAAGTGCAGTATGCAGAGGCCACCTGAAGGAGCTGTGAGTTCCAAGCGTGTAGCCTCTTAGGTTCCGAGCGTGTAGTTCTCTTTGTGGTGCTCTGCCTCCCCTTGATGATATCACATCCGCCCAACTACTGCGCTCCGCGCTGGTTCCAGGAACTTCTGATCCTAGCTGAACTAAAGTCCATTAAATATCGCTCTGCATATTGCACTTAGAAGGCAATTTTTTCCTCTCCCCCTTCTTTCCTTTTTTATAGAGCTGGCAAACTCTGGGAAGACTGCCACTTCATGCAAAAGATTTCCATGTACTACTATTGGCACTCTATGGACTTTGTCTAAATGCCATGGCTTATTGATAGAGGGGAAGAAATAGCCTTCTAAGTGCAGTATGCAGAGGCCATCTGAAGGAGCTGTGGGCTCCGAGCGTGTAGCCTTGTTCTCTTTGTGGTGCTCTGCCTCCCCATTGATGACGTCACATCCGCCCAACTAGCATGCTCCACATTTGTCCCAGGAACTTCCAGTCCTAGCTGCAGCAGCCTGAGACTCTTCTTGTAACAATGATGATCGAATCTCACGACCAGGGGATGTACGAACAGCGGAATTGGCTGTATACCCCCTACTGTGTCTGATAGGCTATCTCAATGGACTAAAGTCCATTAAATATCACTCTGCATACTGCACTTAGAAGGAGCTTTTTTCCTTTTCCCCTTCTTTCCCTTTTATAGAGCAGGAAAACTCTGGAAAGGCTGCCACTTCATACAAAAGATTTACATGGACTACTATTGGCACTCTATGGACTTTGTCTAAATGCCATGGCTTATTGATAGAGGGGAAGAAATAGCCTTCTAAGTGCAGTATGCAGAGGCCATCTGAAGGAGCTGTGGGCTCCAAGCGTGTAGCCTTGTTCTCTTTGTGGTGCTCTGCCTCCCCATTGATGACGTCACTTCTGCCCAACTAGCGTGCTCCACGTTGGTCCCAGGAACTTCCAGTCCTAGCTGCAGCAGCCTGAGACTCTTCTCGCAACCACGATGATCAAATCTCACGACCGGGGGACGTACGAACAGCGGCATTGGCAGTATACCCCCTACTGTGTCTGATGGGCTATCTCAATGGACTAAAGTCCATTAAATATCACTCTGCATACTGCACTTAGAAGGTGCTTTTTTTTTTTCCTCTTCCCCTTCTTTCCCTTTTATAGAGCAGGAAAACTCTGGGAAGGCTGCCACTTCATACAAAAGATTTACATGGACTACTATTGGCACTCTATGGACTTTGTCTAAATGCCATGGCTTATTGATAGACATATATGGTTCTTATTGTGCGCTGATCACCTTGTATCTAACAGCAACAGGTTTTGCTTTCTTTTGGGAGAAAAATGTTTAAGCCACAGGAATAAAAGCTAACCATTACAAGCACCCCCTGCGAGGTTTTATGGCTTGTTCCAACCCCTGTAACTAAAACTACCTTAGGACCACTTGGTCTGTTACAGGGGGTGGAAAAATATATCAGATTTGCTGGCAGGATCAATGGCTTATAAAACTATGGGGAAAGAAAAACAAAAACTGATATGTTTAAGCTATTGACAGACTACATCATACATATAATTTTTTTTTATTTTCCAGTAGATGCACTTTTAGCATCTCCATATTTTGAAACAATACATTTCTTTTTAATGAAACCATTGTTCCATCCTAAAAGGTTATATTCACCTATTATAGAGAGTTTTAGCTTATCTGACAGCGCATTGTGATATCATCGCTGTCTAGATGGTTGTAATTCCAGACAATGCTGCTGTATCAGCCATCTTTGCAACCGATAAAAAAAATCATCCTGGTAATAGAATCCTTTGTAAAGTAACACCAAGGCACAGCACAAAGGTCCCCTTTCACAGACGTAGGTCCATCCAGCTATGCTCCACGCCTTCGTATAGCCGCAGAAACACATGATTCTCCCTCTTTTCTATGAGAGAGCTGCACCAGCTGAGGAATGTCTGTGTGATACTGAGGAGGTGGTAGACAATACAGAATTCTGAGTAACAAGGATGGTACTGTACCCAGAGCTTTATCCACTGATCTGCAGAGCTGTGCCCTTCACCCTTGAAGAGGCTTGAAAAAGATGTTACAGAAATCCAGCCGCTTTAGTCTTTTTAATGGAAACTAAATGGTTTGGGGGTCAATTTTCCTTTATGTTTTTATGTTTATAAAAAAAAAGGATGAGCAAAATTGCCAGTTGTTCCTTTGATGAAAATTTGGGAATTTAAGTAAAATTTTCCATTTGACTAAAGTCAATATGGACTGTTATCTTGTGGTGAATCCTATATTCGAAGTTCATGGACTCCTGCAAACAATATGGGAATTTACCACGGTGGTAGTAATGCACTGCCTGGCCTTTGAACTTAGATCAGCTGGTTTTAGAAGAGGATTAAGAGAGCTTTTGGCTAAGCAAGGCACCTCACTATTAAAAGGTGAGATCACAGCAGCCATATAGACAATGAGTTTGCTGCAACAAGGAAAGCATAGGGAGTGCTGCTGATAAACTGCATAAGGAGATATTAGTTCAAAATACTAACCACAGCTTACAAAGCCATCCACAACACTGCCCCTAGCTATATCACCAACCTCATCCACAGATACTGCCCAAATCGCCCACTCCGCTCCTCCCATGATATCCTCTCCTCTCTAGCTCCCTCATCACCTCCTGCCACGTTCGCCTCCAGGACTTCTCCAGAGCCTCTCCCATCCTCTGGAACTCCCTACCACAGTATGTCCGGTCAGCCCCCACCCTGTCTGCCTTTAGGCGATCTTTGAAAACTCACTTCTTCAGGGAAGCCTACCCCACCTCCACCTAAGAACTGTACTTGAATCACCTCCGCCAGATCATCCCCCCACAGCCATCACCTTTTGTATCACCTCTCGCTTCCTTTAGATTGTAAGCTCCATGAGCAGGGCCCTCCTATTCCTTCTGTACTGAAATGTATTTTAATTGTACTGTCTCCCTTATATTGTAAAGCGCTGCGCAAACTGTTGGCGCTATATAAATCCTGTATAATAATAATTAGTGTAGGGCAGGTTTGTTAAAGTAGAAGTCAACCTTTACTAAATGTTATGTAGATAGCAAAATGTTGTGTATCTTGGAGAATGTTTTTTTCTTTTCATTCTTTGTTATAGCTTAATGCTACCTATGTCCTGCAGTCTCTTTATAGCCTTTCCCTGTCCACATTTACTACAGTGACAACAGGCTGTTTTGTTTTCAACTAACTGTACAAAAAAGTAGCAACCACCCAACAAATAACTAGCCTTTGCAGTAAGGTGCACATGGAAGGGCAATGCACATCACAAACAAGATCTCCCAACATACTTACCAGCTAGCCTGCAAAACAACCGAATTGGCCCTGTTTAACAATTTACGTTAAAACAGAGGGTTTTGTTTGCACACAGTTGCAAATTTATGATTGCCTACGTCAAGGCTTCTCTGTCTGCTGCAGTCCCAATTCTATAACGTTTAAAGTCTCACAAGTTGGAGCACATATAGCAGTGGAGAAATTAAGGGCAGGTTTGCCTGAAGGGAGCCCACCTCTCTTCAAAGGCACAGGAGCGTACGTAACACCCAGCAAGAGCAAACTGGCACCAAATTCAACAAACTGTACAAAAAATGGCAATCACCCCAAACTATAACTAGCCTTGCAGTAAGGTGCACACTGACTCTGAAAATTTTAGAGTTAGAACCACATTGCATTTTCACAGGACATATTTCTTAATTGTTGCTGGTTGCAATGTTTTTTTTTCCACAAATAATTTTTTTTAATGGTTGACTACAGTGAAATATGCGTGTGCAATGTGTATCAGCATAGAAACTAATAGTTTCCTTTGGGATAGCATGTGACAAGATGATGTAAAGGCAGGAGATTGAGGGAGACAGGGGTACTTGTCAAATCATAATACAAAGTGCACAAGGACCCTTTTATCAGTAGAACCAGCTGTTATTTTCATGAAAACTAGCAATTAAAAAAAACAGACTTTCCTACTGATATTATTATTATACGGGATTCATATAGTGTCAACAGTTTGCGCAGCATTTTACTGGGGGGCAGACACTGAGACAGTTGGTAAGGTAGGCGAATCTGGCAGCAGCATTCAGCATACACTGAAGAGGGGATAGCCTATGGCAGGGGCAGACTGACAACTCATGGGGCCCCCGGGCAATAGGGGATCATGGGGCCCCTGTGTCCTTGCCCAAACTTAAAAAAGCCTAAGAAAAAGGTACCAGGGGCATCTCATGTGGCCCCCTACTGACCCCGGGCCCTCAGGCAGTGCCCGAGTTTCCAAATGGTCAGTCCGCCCCTGGCCTATGGAGAGAAAGGCCTATGAGGAGGGAGTCGCAATTGTCAAGACGAGAGATAACAAGGAGTGAATGAGTAGCTTGATGGTTTCATTACAGAGGTAGGCCTATGAGAAGGGAGATGAAAAAGTCAAGGTGAGAGATAACAAGGGAGTAAATAAGTATCTTGGTGGTTTCATTAGTTAAAAAGGGGCAAATTTTAGAGATCTTACAGAGGTAAAATCTGCAAGCTTTTGACAGTGATTGGACTTGGGGCCGAAAGGATAGGTCAGAGTCTAGGATTACACCTGTAATCTGGAGTGAAGGGAGGGACTGATAGTTTCATTATTGATCTTGATAGAAAAGTCATGGAAGAGGGCACGAGCAGGGGGAATGTTATCAGCTCAGTTTTAGGAAGATTTAGTTAAGGAAGTGATACGACTAGAGATGAGCGAATTATTCAAAAATTCGATTCGACTGATTCGGCGAATTCGTGAAAAAATTTCGATTCGAGTCGAATATATTCGCTGCGAATTTAACTTATAAAAGGGTGTTTCTAGGCTTCAGAGAGCCTTTATATTAGTGCAGAACACTGTACCTTTAATTTAAATGCCCTTGGAGTCTGCTGGGGAAGAGAAATAATACTGTCAGTCAGTATGACATGCAGATGAGTGCCGTCGATCTTAGAATCACCGCACACTTCACTCATTTGGGCAGTCACGGGGCCAAAACCAGAGTGTGGAGCCACAGTGTGGCGGTGGAGGCAGCAGCAATGGGAGGCCATACAGCACCCTATGACAAAAATGGAACCCACCAGCAGTGTGAGGAGACCTGAAAGTGGCACATGGCAGAGTGTGGCGATGGAGACAGCAGCAATGGGAGGCCGTACAGGGACCCATGAGAGACTCTGGACCTGGCAGCAGCATGAGGAGGCAGTACAGGGGCCCATGACAGATTACGGGCCTGGCAGCAGCATGAGGAGTTGGTACGGGGGCCCATGGCAGATTACGGGCCTGGCAGCAGCAATGGGGGGCCGTACAGGGACCCATGACACACTCTGGACCTGGCAGCAGCATGAGGAGGCGGTACAGGGGCCCATGACAGATTACGGGCCTGGCAGCAGCATGAGGAGTCGGTACGGGGGTCCATGACACACTCTGGACCTGGCAGCAGCATGAGGAGGCGGTACAGGGGCCCATGGCAGATTACGGGCCTGGCAGCAGCTATGGGAGGCCCGTAATCTGCCAGCACCCTATGACAAAAAATGGAACACACCAGCAGTGTGAGGAGACCTGAAAGTGGCACATGTTTGGGGCATGATTCATGGCGGATTTAGTCAGTTGTGTCAGGAACTGGTGGTTTGAAATCCAGACTAATCCACGCCTGATTCATTTTCACAAACGTGAGTCTCTCCACACTTTGGGTGGACAGTCGTGTCCTCCGCGGAGTTACAATACCTCCTGCCGCACTAAAACATGCGCTCCGATGCCACGCTACTGGCCGGGCATGACAGCCTTTCAAGGGCAAATTCAGCTAGTTGGGGCCAAAGGTCAAGTTTCGTTGCCCAGTAGTCAAGGGGATTGTCTACCTCGGTTGGCAGGGTGCTGTCCAAGTAGGCCCAAGCCTGTTTGTTTGAGGTCCTGCTCCAGGTCCACCTGATGCTGCTGCTGCTGCGGCTGGTTAGTAGTTTCCTCACTGCGCTGGTGAAGAAAGCTACTCATCATCGACTGCAGACTGAGGCAGCCGCTGCTGGTGGAGCTGCCACTGCTCCTACCACCCCACCCCTCCCCTGCTGCCATGGCAGCGGAACGCGAGCGCACAGGGCCCACAGTGTCTGAGGATGGACGTTGGTGCAGAAAGGCAGAGACCAACTGACTACATAGGTGGTTTGTATATAGTACGTTATTTTGGCCTCCCTCTCAGCAGGTGTGAAAAAGGCCACCATTTTTGAATGGTAGCGAGGGTCCAACAAGGTGGACAGCCAAAAGTCATCCCTCTGTCTGATGGTTATTATTCGGCTGTCGCTACGCAAGCAAGCGAGCATGCTATGGGCCCATTTGTGCCAAGGAATGCGAGGGACTCCCTGCCTCCATCTCCACAGCATACTGCCACGGTGCGTCTGGGTCCTCTGTCTCTCCTCCTCCTCCTCCTCTACCAGATGCTCCTGCTCCTCCACTCCTGTCCGCTGAGTGGAAAAACCACCCATTTCACTCAATAATTCCTGAGCACAAATGTCCTCCTCTACCTCCTCCTCTTCTTCCTGTCCTGCCCCCACAGGGTCATGTGGCGTTGAGATTTGTGCGCCACGTCTACCGCACCCTGACCAGCCATTGTTAACAGCATTTGTTCCAGGACATGCAACAGAGGAATGACGTCGTTCATCCCCATAGTCCTGCCGACTCACGAATAGCGTGGCCTCCTCAAAGGGCCTGAGCAAGCGGCAGGTGTCACGCATGAGCTGCCAATGGCTGACATCTAAGTTACACAGGGAGTACCCTTTATCCGCTTGTAACATCAGGAAATCTGTGATGGCCTGTTCGTAAAGGCGGTCTAACATATGTAGGGTTGAATTCCACCTTGTTGCAACGTCGCAGATCAGGCGATGCTGTGGAATTCCGTTCTGCCGCTGCAGCTCAAGGAGGGTGTGCTTTGCGGTGTAGGAATGGCTGAAATGCATGCAAAGTTTACGTGACATTTTAAGGATGTCTTGCAGTGGGATGGTGGATTTTAGGAACCGCTTGACAACCAGATTGAACACGTGAGCCATGCATGGCGCATGGCACAACCTTCCTTGACGCAGAGCAGACACCATGTTCTTTCTGTTGTCGGTCAACATGGTTCCGATTTTCAGTTTGCGCGGAGACAGCCATCTGTCGATTTCTCTGTTCATTACACTGAGAAGTTCCTCCCTGTGTGACTACGTTCGCCAAGGCATACCAGGTGCAGCACAGCGTGACACCGTTGCGCCCTGCACATGTGATATGCCGGTCGGGTAATGGGACTTGGCACGGGGGTGGCGGCTGAGGACACGAAGGAAGAAGAGGTGGTAGAGGCGGACATCTTTTGTGGACCAAGGACGTGCAAACGTGGAGGCAAAAGCGGCGTGACCTGTCCAAGTTGCTGGTGCGGCTGTGACGGCACCATGTTCACCCAGTGGGCCGTTAATGACATGTACTGTCCCTGACCGTAGTTACAGCTCCACACGTCGGCGCTGCCGTGCACTTTGGCAGAGACCGACATGCACTCAAAGACTGGCCCACCATCTCTTCTACATGTGAATGCAGGGCTGGCACTGCCTTTTTGGCGAAGAAATGACGGCTTGGCACTCTCCACCGCGGCGCGGCACAAGCCATCATTTCTCGGAAAGGTGCTGAGTCCACCACTTGGAAAGGGAGGGACTGCAGCACCAGCAACTTGGACAGGAGGACGTTCAGCTTTTGCACCGTCGGGTGCGTGCTCGCAAACTGTTGTCTCTTGGAAACGGATTCCAAGAAAGACTGCTGACGGAATCCGTGAAGAGGAGTAGCAGGAGAAGGAGCATCTGAATGAGCGGAAGATGCCAACGAGCGACAACTCCCCTCAGCAGAGGTGTTGGAGCCTTGACTGGCTGATAGAGGGCGATTGACGTCGGGTGACGGAGCAAGTAACGGAGCGGGTGATGGAGCGGGGGGCTGGGGCAGGCAGAACCGCCGTATATTTATCACGGTTTTCCCAGGCCACCAAATGGCGACCTGCATATGCTGCCGCAACGCTGTAGTCCCAAAATGGGCCCCCTGGCCACGCTTGACTTTCTGGCCACATAGTCGACATACGGCTACGTTTACTTCCTCGGGCGGCTTGACGAAAAAAATTGCCACACCGCCGAGTAGGAAACTTTTGCCCCCGATACTCCTCACTGGCTGACTGCTACTTCCTCCGTGCACACCGGCACCACTACTGGCCGTGGTGGTAGGCTGCAGTGGAGCTGGTGCTCTACTCCGTGGCCGTTTGCCTCCACTGACACTGCTGCGACCCTGCTGCCTCCTGGGCAACCCACCGACTGTTTTGCTCGCTGCCAAGCTGCCACACTCTTCTCCTGATGATGCGGAAGCAATAGCCTGATGACGACGAGGCTGCCAAGTGCGATCAGCCTCATCATCATCAATTAGGGTCTCCGCCTCACTACTAGCCCCCTCGGCTGCGTGTGGGTCAGGAGACAGACCTGTCTCTAGACCGGCTACCGAGCCACTCTCCTCGCCACTACTTCTTCGCCTGGCTGCTGAGAGAGGCGGATGTCTCCCCCCGTTCCTGACCACCCTCTGTTAGCTCTTCCTCACTGTACAGTGGGGCTGAGCCCACAGCATGCGATACTTCGCTTGGTGAGGGAACACCAAAGGACAGGGGCAGGTCGAGGACACGTGATTTCAGTGGGCTTGCTCCCGGGCCATGCCAACTAACGGTTGTGTCTGACGTACCCACCGACCGTTGGCTGTAGGTGTCAGAGGTGACCTGGGAATAGGAAGACGACCGAGCCAACCAATCGATGACGGCAGGGTTGTCGGTGGAGACACGACCGCTGGATGACACCGGGAGCAATGGCCCTCTGGCTGCGACTAGTGCTGCCTCGACCCCTTCCTCTGCTGCCACGTCTGCTCGCTCCTAAAACATTGCCTCCTCTGCCACTCCTCTGCATGTTGTCTGACATACTCTTTAATTAAACGATTCTGTGTCCCTGAGTAACAATTCTGTGTCCCTGAGTAACAATTCTGTGTCTGTCCCTGAGTAACAATTCTGTGTCCCTGAGTAACAATTCTGTGTCCCTCAGTAACAATTCTGTGTCCCTGAGTAACAATTCTGTGTCCCTCAGTAACAATTCTGTGTCCCTGAGTAACAATTCTGTGTCCCTCAGTAACAATTCTGTGTCTCTCAGTAACAATTCTGTGTCCCTCAGTAACAATTCTGTGTCCCTCAGTAACAATTCTGTGTCTGTCCCTGAGTAACAATTCTGTGTCTGTCCCTGAGTAACAATTCTGTGTCCCTCAGTAACAATTCTGTGTCCCTCAGTAACAATTCTGTGTCCCTCAGTAACAATTCTGTGTCCCTCAGTAACAACTCTGTGTCCCTCAGTAACAATTCTGTGTCTGTCCCTGAGTAACAATTCTGTGTCTGTCCCTGAGTAACAATTCTGTGTCCCTCAGTAACAATTCTGTGTCCCTGAGTAACAATTCTGTGTCCCTCAGTAACAATTTCTGTGTCCTCAGTAACAATTCTGTGTCTGTCCCTGAGTAACAATTCTGTGTCTGTCCCTGAGTAACAATTCTGTGTCCCTGAGTAACAATTCTGGTCCCTCAGTAACAATTCTGTGTCTGTCCCTGAGTAACAATTCTGTGTCTGTCCCTGAGTAACAATTCTGTGTCCCTCAGTAACAATTCTGTGTCCCTCAGTAACAATTCTGTGTCCCTCAGTAACAATTCTGTGTCTGTCCCTGAGTAACAATTCTGTGTCCCTCAGTAACAATTCTGTGTCCCTGAGTAACAATTCTGTGTCTGTCCCTGAGTAACAATTCTGTGTCTGTCCCTGAGTAACAATTCTGTGTCCCTGAGTAACAATTCTGTGTCCCTCAGTAACAATTCTGTGTCTCTCAGTAACAATTCTGTGTCCCTGAGTAACAATTCTGTGTCCCTCAGTAACAATTCTGTGTCTGTCCCTGAGTAACAATTCTGTGTCTGTCCCTGAGTAACAATTCTGTGTCCCTCAGTAACAATTCTGTGTCCCTCAGTAAACAATTCTGTGTCCCTGAGTAACAATTCTGTGTCCCTCAGTAACAATTCTGTGTCCCTCAGTAACAATTCTGTGTCTGTCCCTGAGTAACAATTCTGTGTCTGTCCCTGAGTAACAATTTCTGTGTCCCTCAGTAACAATTCTGTGTCCCTGAGTAACAATTCTGTGTCCCTCAGTAACAATTCTGTGTCCCTCAGTAACAATTCTGTGTCTGTCCCTGAGTAACAATTCTGTGTCTGTCCCTGGTAACAATTCTGTGTCCCTGAGTAACAATTCTGTGTCCCTCAGTAACAATTCTGTGTCTGTCCCTGAGTAACAATTCTGAGTCTGTCCCTGAGT